CAGCATGGTACTGGCAAAGAAATAGGCCTGAGGATCAATGGAACAGACTGGAAGACACAAAAACAAATGCAGATGTACTCAGCTACCTCATCTTTGACAAAGGAGCTGACCATCCTCAGTGGAGGAAAGATAGCCTCTTTAATAAATGGTGTTGGAAAAACTGGATATCAACCTGCCACAGATTAAAATTAGACCCTTATCTTTCGCCATGCACTAAATTAAAATCCAAATGGATTAAAGATCTAAATATTAAAACAGAAACATTAAACTTGCTGGAAGGTAAGTTAGGCAGAACTCTGGAAGACATTGGTATAGGAAAAGACTTTATGAACAAATCCTCAGTAGCACGGGAACTAGCAGAAAGAATCAACGACTGGGATCTCATCTTACTAAAAAGCTTCTGTACTTCAAAAGAAACCATTAGCAGAACTAAGAGACAATCTAGAAATACTTTTTGATGCTGGTCCAAACTGCTTTGTTATTCTAGGTATTTTGAATACCAAGCTTTGCCCTGAATACTGTTGCCTTTTGTTGCTACAATACTCTTTCATTCATTCTTCCTTCTTACCCATTCTGGGTATGTACCTGGTGCTGAATTGGTAGCTTTTAAGAATTAAAAAAAAATTTTTTTTCAAGCCCTGATAATTCGTAATATCAGAGTAATTTCTTTGTCTAAAGATGCCTACTCCCATGCCATGCCTAGTACTGCCCTTAATGAATATTACTTGAGTTCAAATCATGTAGTGCATTCCAAACTAAAGACTATTTCTCTGCTGTTTCATGGCAAGTAGAAAATAAATGCAAAAACACTGAATCTGGGTTTTCTGGAAGACTTTTTGCTGTCTTTTCCCTTAAATATCTTCTTAAATCTGCATCCTTTAAGTATATACTATTCATTTATCTTTGACATCTTTTCACTTACTACCTCATGTAGTTTTTTTTGGGGGGGGGTACTGGGGATTGAACTCGTCATGTAGTTTTCTTAAATAATTTATGTTTGTAGCGAGAGATAGATTGTGTATTAGTTGCCGCTTAAGAAATTTGAGTATTCTAGAAAGATTGGTTAAACTCTATTTAATTGGTCTGTGTTGGCACTCTTCTTGCCCTCTGAGTTCTAAAATTTTAATAAAATATTTTTATTTTTAATAAAAAACTCGTGCTGTAATTGGAATTGAATTAAAGGAACACGTTTGGCTTTTCATAAAACTAGATATTGAAATGACTAAAAACACTGGTTTCAGGAAATTTTCAGGTTGAAAATGACATGACATTTTTGTTGGGCTTTATATTTATATTAACATTTAACAGTTTCTTAATCTGATCTTTAAAAGCTTGTAAGATTTGATTGAGAACACTTGATTTATGTATATTAACACCCAGTTTTCTAGATGATGACATAGTTTCAACAGAGCTGAAAACCTACAAGAACTGACTTTAGAAATGTACCAGTGTTATCTGACCACCTTATTTGTTTCAAGGAATGGTTCTACAAAAATATATGTCTAGCTAATCTGGAATTAATAGTGTGTGTGTGTGTGTGTGTGTGTGTGTGTGTGTGAGAAAGAGAGAGAGAGAGCGAGAGTGTGTGTAAAATCATGTACGTAAGCAGGGTTGGGTTGAGGGGAAGAGAGAGTAAGAGTTATTACTTGAGTAAACAAAACCAAGTAGTAAAAAAAGCAGTTGTGTGTAGCAGACTGGATCATCAACAGTTCATGTTGGTTTAAAGTTATATTTTTAGGGGTAGTACCTTACTAACTCTTAATTTCGCATAGTGTCCATGTTTTTGTCTTGTGTCCTTCTAAAATACAGTACTCTGAACTAATGGCTTTATGTGAGTTGGGATTTTGTTAGGTACTGATTTTTAAAATTTGTTTCCCAGGTTGTTTGCATTCGTTCCACTTGGAATGCTCTCTCCCCAAAGTTGAGTTGTGACACAAGACCTCTAATTTTGAAAACCCTGAGTGAACTGTTTTCTCTGGTGCCTTCTTTGACTGTCAGTACCGCTGAATATGAGGTATGCATTTAGAGCTTAACAAATTGCCTGTCTTTACATTAGAAGATGTGGGATATCGTAACTACTTTTGGAATAAGCATTTATTAAGTTGTGTTTGACAGAAATTCTTTAGCACTTTTTGTTCTGAGAACATGTTGGTATTCTTATGAACCGCTGGTAGGAAGATATTACTCTTATGGATTCTGAGTCTTTGTGACTTATGAACATAAAGGTTACCAATTTTTTATTAAGAAAATATAGATGAGATTTTAAAATGTATCCTTTAAAAGTGTTTCTAAAATGTTTGTAAGACTAACAAAATCATTTTGTTAATGTTCTAAGGTCTAAAATCTAAGTTCCAAAGACTTTAATAAAGGCAGGATAGGTTCTCCCAATTTTATGAGTTACTCAGTGTCAATTCAATGTCAAATTGAAATGCTTGGTGGGAGACTCTTTGATATCAACTCATATATTGCTGCTTAATGCTTTCTGCATTATCTCTTCTGTGAGTGAAATGAGTCAGAGGATGGGAAATGACATTTAAGTCTCTGTACTTTTGGAGGCTGTATTCTCTTTTACCTGCACCTTTGTTGCTTTTCCTTCACAAAGCACCAACTGATTTTCACTTGTAGTCTTGCTGAGCCTTTAGTTTGATTTAGTGCTTCACAGCCTGTGGCAAACTATCACACCATCAGATTCCTGTAATAGTTCTTTGTTTATTTTAGGTCACGTGATTAGAAATAATATAGGAAAATGTTTTTTTGAATTCTGGTGCTCAGTAGTGAATAAATTCAAATTTGTCTTTTTTGAGGTTAAATATGTAGTGGAGTGTTTGACACATAATATGTATTTGGTAAGTAATTACTGAATAAATTGACTAAACCAATAAAACTATCTTGATTTTATTCTCATGTGGGCTTTTCTTTTAGGGTATTAAAATAGAATCCATTTGTGACTCCTAGAGTATACTGTTCACTTACAGGGTTTTTTATTGTTATGGTTGTAAGTCATGGGTCCTTGTCAGAGAACCTGCAGGGTTGCTGATAAGGAGCTAAGGCAAAAATTGAAGATAGAGCATATCATGTGTAATTTATTTTCTGTCTTTAGGAACAGAAATCTTATACCTTTCCTTGTACTCTTAGTTGTTCAGACTTTTGTACAGGTTAATTTCTGAAGTACCTGTAGTTTTTCTGTTAGTTTCTTACATTTGCTTGTCCGTGGCTATGAATCATCTTTTGGACTAGATTTTTTTTCACATTTGTATTACATTCCTTTGGTTGACTTTTGGGCTTATGTGTTGTTAAGGCTCTTCTGCTGTTCAGACAGACTGCTTTGGGACATTTCCATCCATCTCTGCATTCCCAGTCCTGAGGGCTTGCTTCAGTGGCAGTCCCCCGCAGAAGCAGAAGTGAAGAAGCATGGAAGGAAAGACTTTCCCTCTCTTTTCTGTCTTCTTTCCACCCAGTGCTCTGAGTTTCCCTCTGTCCTCCTGTCAGTCTGCCCTTCTATCCTTCCCTCTCCTTATCTGTGCTTAGATAATTTGGTGGTTTTATTTTGAACTGCTTAGAACTTACTTAGATATCACCCAGAGTTGAACTAAGTTTTCTCAAAGCATTTCTAGTCCTTGTCTCATCAGTGCCTCATGTTCAACTAAAACAAGCCAGTAGCCCTTCTACAACAGACTCGATCAACCTGAACCCTGCATTTCAGAAGGAAGTCACTTGTCATTTCTCTGTGTCCATCAAACTTTTCTTTCTTTTCTTTTGTTTGTGTTACCCTCTCTGTCTAGACATCTTTTCCTCTTTAAGTTTAAAATCTATTTTAGGAAATAATTGTTTTAACTTATCCTTTGAAAATTTGTAAGCAAGAGATGCTTATACTGTTCTCAAGAGCCTTTATCCCATTTTAGGAGCTGTATTTCTATTTTATACTGCAGCGATACATATACATACATTATTTTCTTCATCAGCCAGTAACTTCTTGAAAACAGCACCCATGATTCAGTTACAGTTAATTTTTGAATTGCTTTGGATTGTATTTGGTGGTGTATGTATTCATTGACTCTAAATACATTAATGTGGACTGTATTGGGCCTTGGAAATACTAATCAGTAATACACATACTATTTTTTTGAATTCCTATTAAATTCCCAATACTTTTCTAGTTAGTTTGCACTGATTAGTTCTAAAACCTAATGGGAAGTTTTTCAAAACTGTTTTATAGCTAAAAATATTATTAAGGTAACTTTGGAGATCTATCAAGCAAGTAACTTAACCAAGATTGTAGTGACCAAGTGAAAGCTGGTGTCTGAACCCAGGGCTTTCTAGCTGCATAGCGTGTACTTTCTTATAATACCATGATGAGAACTTCTAGAAGTTCAAAGGTTGGTAAAGGAGATATATGTGAGCAGTAGTAATTATAACATTTGATGGGTACAATTAGTTAAAGGTCTGTGAGTGTGGTGGAGGAAGTGAAATACACTTTTAGGAGGAATCTAAGGACATCTTCATTAGAATAACCTTAAAAAATTATTGTAATGCTGCTTTCTGTTGACGTTGAAGATTAGGATATACAAAGGCAAAAAGATATAGAGGAATCATATATGATTTACAAGGACAAGGTATTATAAGAGATGACCAAGTAGTCTTGGAAGACAAATGCCTTTTATACTCAGTCATTTATTAAATACTTGCCATTTTTATGGAGCTGTTCTGGGCTCTGGGTTCTGTGTCTTTAAAATGAAGACACAGTCACTGCCCTCAGTGTACATTGTGGTAAATCTTACTAGATGTTAAAGTGTGCCACATGCTGTACGGCTCTTTAGAGAAAGGTACAATCTTCTGGATTGGAATTAGAAGCAGTGGCATGAAAGAGTGCCACTTGTAATAGTATTGAAGGGTCAGTCAGAAGTGGTTAGTTTTCTAGATTTAATAATCTTAAAATTTCAACGTGTTATCATTGTGTTTAGATGATAGATCTGTTTCTGAGTATTTTCATCTTATGAATAATAGATAAATATAGGTTAATACTGACATAATCTTAAAAGTAATCTGATTTCTATTTTCTACTTCAGATTTCTTAATCGCAGTTTTACTTTGTCTTAAAACTTTTTTTCTTATGTTTCCGGATTTTTCAGAAATTTAAAGTTCAAGTTCTCAGCTTCCTCTGGACTCACACTCAAAACAAGGTACTATCCCAGGGTTGTCAGTAAATCAGAAGTAAGTTGGGAAAAGAATTAAAAAATATGACGTACGACAAAAAAGTAACTCTGTTATAATGATGGCTTTGTGGCTAAACAAAATATGTAAGTTTAGATTTTTATAAAAATTATTCTAAATTTATGCTACATTTTCACTGTAAAGTACACTTCATGGAGTGTGGGGGTAACCTGACAGATGTGAAGAGGGAATGCTGACAGTATCTCTTTGTTTTTTTATTTTTTTAATTAATTAATTATTTATTTATTTTTGGTACCGAGGATGGAATTCAGGACCTTGTGCTTGTGGCGCAGGTGGCAGAACCACTGAGCTAAATCCCCTGCTCAATATCTCTTTATTTTATATGGTCACTTCCCTACCAACAAACATATCAAACCAACAGTTCGTCTGAGGCTTGTGGTGTCTTTTCTAATCATGAGTATAAAAAGGACCGTGTTGGTGCTGCTGTACCTGACTCATAAGTGGATCAGCTTAGATTCCAAAAGGTTAACTTGCCCTCTCATTGTGTAGAGAACCAGAATCAGACCCAGACTTGTGCAACTCTTAAATCCTCGTGCTTCTTCCACTACACCATATTACTTCACAGTATCCCAAGCAATTATGAGTTGCTTTAGGTTTAATGTCCAAGTCATGATCAAATGTGGTATCTCTGAACTTTTTGTCCAATGCTGTTTTTTCTCTTTTTATTTGGGACATATTCTCCATAAAGGTATTTTGGCTGAGAAGTTTTCCTAGTTGTTTTTACTTTTCACTTCAGGCCTCTTTATTTTACTCTTTTGAAAAGAAGATGAAGTTCCTTGATTTCTCTTCTAAATTTGTAGTAAATGTCTTTTGGCCTAGGCAAGAACTTGGATACCATTTCCAAAGAGTATTGAGTATAGAACGTTGGGCCTGATGAGGGAAGATTTTCTTTCCTCTTCCACATCTGAGGATTGATATACTTTTAATTTGTTTATTTCCTTTTCTTTTACCCTCTCTAGGACTCACTCGTAGCAAATGCTGCATACAAATCTCTGTCCCACTTTAGTGCAGGAGACCACACCATCCTTCATCTGCCTGAAAAGGTAGGCAGTTCTGCTTTATCACTCTATCCCTGTATTTTGCTGTTTTATGACTTTATGCTCATTCTTAGGAGAGTCCTACCTGATGAAAGTCTATGTAACCCTAGATGTATTGTCCATAAAAGGTAAAATTTGTATTTATTTGTTTGTTTAACATGTAGAAGACTGTAAAAGTCTTAGACTTCATAGATTATGAATTTAAATCTCTTTGAAGCAGATGGAAAAACAGCTATGGTGCAAGTTAAATTTGCTGAAGGTGATTGATAGATGCCTTGGTCCAGTCACCACATCATCTTGGACTTCAAAATCCAAGGAGAGCCTGTGTAGATGGAGCTGTATAGCCAACAATATTTATTTGTGATTAAAAAAAAAAATGGATGCACCTATTTTGGGGGAATACCTGAGTCAGTGGTGGAGTACTTGCATAGCATGTATGAGGCCATGGGTTCAATCCCTAGTACCAAGAAAAAAGAAAACAAAATGATGTTATTTGAGAAACCTGCTATTAGTATAATGCAGAACTATATATCAGTAAGCCTTAGAGAACTGGATGAAGAAACTGTTACTGTCTTTAAGGATTAACACATGCTCTGACATGATCTTAGTTTTAAAAATAAGCTTATTTTAGTTTTAAATTAAACCTATACCCTTTTCTGGCATCTACCTAATATAATTAGGTTTAAGTTATTAGCTCATATTAGAGAAATTCAGTACCTAATTTCAAAATTAGTGCCACTACTAGTTGAAATGCATACAGATATTTATTGAGTGCCTTCCGAATATAAAGACAAAGTATATGTTATGTGAAGTTGAATGTAATATTACCATCTTAGTTACTTTTCTCATTGCTACAGCAAGATACCCAACATCCAAAGTTAAAAGAGGAAAGGTTTATTTGGCTCACCGTCTACAGACATTTCAGTCCATAGTTGGCTGGCCCCAAAGCAGGGTTGCATGGCAGAGAGGCATTGCAGAGGAGAAACAGTTCATGGCAGGCAGAAGGCAGCAAAGCAGCAAGGTGGCAGCAGGAACAACCAATCCTCCCCTTATATTTCATCCAAACTACTTGCCTTTTGGGGGGTGCCAACCACACCCAGGGTGGGGCACTCTTAATCCCAACATCACACACCCTAGATCTGGCAACCTTTGCAAACCCCCACCTCACTCCGCGAGGCTTTGGGGGGACATCTAGATATAAGCCATAACATTTCACCCTTGGCCCCCAAAAGACTCGTGCACATCCCTTTATGTAAAAGGCACTTAGTTCATCGCTAAGACTTGCCAAAGTCCTAACCTTTTCAGCATTGTGGAAAGTCTCCTCTGATACTTAAAGCAAACTTTGAGCTGTGAGCCCCTGTACAAATGAAAAGAAAGGTAATTACTTTCAGCATACAGTGGCACAAGATAAACATTGCCATTCCAAAAGGTACAAATAGGGGAAGAGAAAGGAATGGAACCAAAGCAAGTTCAAAATCTGGCAGGGCAAGTATTAAGTCTTGTAGTTCTATTTCCAGCATCTGAGGCAATCTGTGGCAAGACCTGAACTCCAAAGGGCTTGGGTGGCTTTGCCTGTATGGCACTGCAGGTGGTTGCAGCTCTCATGGATCTCTCTTGGCCTGGCTGTGCCTCCCTCCTTTCAGCTTTCCTCAGATAGTCTATGTTCCTGGCTTCTCAGACCTGCTGGGGTCTCTGCTGCACCTTCACACATTGTTCTCTCAGGGGCACACTGCCTGGCCTCCTAGGCTTTCTTCTAAAATCTGGGTGGAAGTCTGCCTGACCCCCAACTCTTGCATTCTGTATGTGTCTAAAATCTGCTCCATATGGATGATGCCAAAGTCTGCTCTCAACTGGAGCAGCAGCCAGGCTCCCTTTTTGCTCTTGGCTGTAAGAGTTGGGTGCCTGTTTTTCTGAGTGCACTGAACCCAATTCCAAGGAGCAAATTCCCTAGACCACCACCATTATGGAACATGGTGCTCCAGTGCTCTCTTCTCAAAGTGAAATTTTCCACCTTTGCAATTTTGGTGCTGCAAAATGTGGAATCCTGCTGGTTCTTGTGATGTTCTTAGGCCATATTTTCTATTGTCTTCTTCCTTCTCAGTAACCAAGTTTTCTTCTGCTCCATCTTTGCAGTCAACAGCTTCACTGGAGCTTCCTTTTTGGCCAAACTCAAAATGTTTTAAGCTTTCTTCTGGGCTCTTTGCTCTTGATTTTCCACATAGATTGGCTTAAAAGCCCCCAACAGTAGCCATGCCACTGCCTCAGTTTTAAATTGCCTTGAAATTTCTTCTGCAAGTTTTATTAGTCTGCTGCCTTTAATCTCTGTCTCAGGCACTAAGTCTCTGGACACAAGCAAACATGCAGACAAATTTTCTGCCAAAGTTTAACACATATAGTTTGGAGTCCAACAGGCAATGCAGTCCTTTTTCCAGCACAAACCTCCTGAGCCTGGTCTTTACCAGTAGTGTTTCTATCAGCATTCTGATCTTCTGAGTTATGACCAAAATCACTAATCAAGTACAGTTGAAGGCATTTCAAGGCTGCTCTTTTAGCTGGCATCTCCAAACATTTCCAAATCTTCCTGTAAGCCAGTTTAAAAGCTCCTGAACCACATGGTCAGATACAATCACAGCAATAGCCCTGCTTCTGTGGTACCAAAATCTGTCTTTGTTACTTTTGTTGTTGAGACAGAATACCCAACACCCAAATTTAAAGTAAAAAAGGTTTAGATGGCTTGTAGTTTGTAATAATTAATAGTCAGCTGGTTTTAAGGCAGAGGTGGCATGGCAGAGGGGCATAGAAGAGCAGAAGAGAGGTAATAGAAGATAAGCAGAGAAGTGTTAGTAGCAACTAACTGCAGCAGTCCTCTTTCCGTTCCTTATATTGCATCCAGGCTACCCGCCCTAAGGGTAGGTAGCACTGCCAGGGTGGGGCACCAGGTGCACATCCTCGATCCCAGTATCACACACCCTAGATTCTATTGCCTCTGAACAGTACCACCTGTACCTTATGAGGCTTTGGGGGGACATCTAGATATGAACTATAACAATTAGCTAGAAACCCCTGGAAATCAAATGGCAGTAAGATTTGATACAGATTTCTTGGCATCCTCAGGTGTAGAGTGGGTTTGGACTTTTCTTGTGAATTGAGTTTATACAGAGATTAGATGTCAGTAGTGGAAAACTTCTGTTTACTGAATTGAATTGGAGCTATTAAGTAAAACCAAATCCTAAGAAAGATGGGTTTTCTATACTATTGAGGGCTCATAAAGACAGATTTCCTAGCTTGTCATGTAGTGATTACAAATGGGAAGGCTTAAGTAATGTGTTTTTTTATATATATGTATTTTTTAGAAAAGATGTGATTTCAAGCTGTACTATAGTGGCTATCATTATCCATACTTACTTATGAAAAGAAAAAGGAAAAAAAAAGTTAGGTAAATTTGGTATGCAAACTCCTAGATTAGCTGTAGCAGTTTGAGAGATAACTTTATATGATTATTTTTAATAAGCAGTTGCTTATTTTGATCATGGCGTGAAAACTACCTGCTGAAATATTCCAGCTGGAGCAATAGCTTTTATTAAATTTTACATTCTTTAGACTGCTTATTCTCTACCTCTTTAAATATTGACATGCTTATTATATTCATATAATGTTAGTTACAGCTTGGTTAAATCTGTATAGTAAGTCAATTGTTAGCTGTTGTACTTCCTTACTGTAGCTCTTCTATAATCATAAGTAGCTGAATAGTCATAAATATTTTTTGTACTTTACAATATGACTAGTAATTATATACTTAGGATTTCTTTCACTTTTGAATCTTTGCCACCAGTATGCAAAGAGCTATAAAAAAAGCTATATGTCCTTTTTACCATGTTTTGAATTTGTGTGTGTGTGTGTGTGTGTGTCCCCTAATTACCTTCTGGGATATGTGTGCCACCCCCGGAAGTATCAGCATCTCACTACGGTGAATATACTCGGCTGAGGCTGCATGGAGGGGATGTAAGTGGTTGGAAATTCTTCCCTACTCTGACCCCAGCTTCTGATAGAGAGGACCAATCTCCTAATGGAGATGCATTGCTTCTAACATTCCCCCCTGCATTCTTCTTTTTATTGATTAGTATTTTCAGTTTGGTTGTTTGAATGTCTGTCTAAAGATTAAACATAGAAAGTGGTCGGTGTGTTCATATCCTTCATAATTTCCAAAAGGCTAAGGATACAACCAGGTCAGTGTTCCTCCTTTGTTTTGTAGGTGATGGGAATGATATGAAATGCAGACTCATTTTAATAAAAGTATATTTTCAAATATTTCTTGAGTCTCTTTCAAGTAAGGTCTTCTATAATGTAAAATGTAAGATTTTTCTTTGTTGTCAGAAATATGCATTCTGCACCAAGGGGGAGGTTGACATATAAGATTTCACTTTTCCAGTGAAATTGTATTGATATTTTCTCCATTTGTAGCAACGAATGAACTAAACTTTTGAGCCCATTGTGAATTTCAAGTACAGTTATAAAGAAAAATGATGTGTCCTTATCAATGGGGTTACCTTTGTGAATTATAATTTAGCTACCTCTATAAGTATTGCATTTAAAACATTTACTTAGGAAATATATTTTGATTGCTAAATATTAAACTGTATAAATTGAAAGTTAACAAGTGGAGCCAAAGGAGTAAGAGAAATGACAGACATCAAAAGGAAGATCTAAAAGTAGATCACAGTACATTTAAAGTAAGATGGAAGGTGTCAGTGGATAGTGGAGGTCACGGAGACATCGCATGAGTGAGGGATCTGAATACCAAATTCACTAACTCATTCTCACCACTGCTTTCTTATTAAATTCTGTGGGTCTAGAAGTGTGCATACTAACACGTGTGTCAGTTTAATTACTTACTGGATATATGCTAAGTGCTAAACCCGTTTTATGAGTTGGGAAGGTTGAGTGAAAGCCATAGCAATATCATTGTTAATTACTTAAAATGCAAATCTAAAGTTGGTTCAGAAATTCAAGGGGACTTCTTTGAGGGCTTATTGATTATAATGTAGAAGAACTGACAAAAATGGTTTCCTGTTTTAGCTTGTATTCCTTCTGTTCTTTTTAGCTATTTACCATTGTCTTTGGCCTTCTTTAGCACCTCCCACTCCAAAAGAAAAAAGAAAATCCAGCTAAACAAAACAATACAAAAATTTTTCTGATAAAGTATTTAGCAATGTATAAACATGTAGAAGATGATGATTCTTGTCTCTGACTTGAATTCATTAAAATTATACAGCTACTTAAAATTAAACTTTGTTTTTATAGAGACCTTAACATCGACTTTTTGACCTCCAGAGTTAATAGTAGAAGATATAAAAACTCATTGTGCATCCAGGGTTAGTATAAACATGGTATAACCTGTTTGGCTTTGATTTAAGTGAATGTCACTGCATTCATCAGAAGCTGTTTCTCTTTTTAACTGAATTTATGCAGATGCTTGACATAGTTCCAAATGCAGAGACTCTTGGATTTTCGTAGGCTATGCACACAGAAAGGTGGTTGAAAGGTTATCTGGCTCAGAATCCATAGTGAGGCATTTCATAAGCTAATTCAGTTTGAAGCAGATTTTAAAAGTAATTTGTCATTATATATTTATGTGGCTTTCTATTTAAGTTTGTTCATTAAAGCTTAGCTGTAATTGGAAGGGCTTTGTTGTGTGTGTTTGAATATATGTGCAGTTTTTCATGGGTGTTTGAGTAGCTGACGTTAACTGCCAAATTTTCAAACACCAACAGGTATTCTTTTATATGCATTTTCTTGATTCTCCCTCGTTGTACTCACATTGCTCTTACACAGTCATTGCACACAAACCAAAGACAAGACTGCTGTTATAACAGAAAAGTTGGAAGAAATAATTTTTTAAGAGGTAGCAGAGGAGGAGGGAAAAGTACTGGAACCAATGATAATAAATGCTCATTTGTCCCAAGGAGTCAGCTCACCTTTCAGGAAATAAAATTGAAGGGATGATCATACCATTATAAGTATGTAGAGTTTATCATTTCTATTTACATTACTGTACCGGTGTAATTTTTTGTTAAAATTCATCCATATTGGAGAAAGATAACAGTATAAGCCTCTTAGGAATCCAGTTACAGATCAAGGGGTGGATCAGTTTTCTTCTTTTTCTTCTTCTTTTTTTTTTGTGATCAGTTTTCTTTATCCCCAACCAGGTAACTCTTTCTTTAGTAGCTCTGGAAACATTGATGGCCTGAGTCTTATGACTCCATTTTAAGTAATTTAGGTTGACTGAGCAGAAGGACTGGACAGGGTAGGAGATCATATCCCTTTATACTAAATAATTCTGGAAACATTTGTTCCTTTCATGTAGTTTCCACACCACTCTAAGGCCCCACTGGTGGAGGTAGCAGCAGAGGGCATGGTCCCCCCTTTCTTCCCCCTCCTCTTCCTTACCTCTAATTTCTTTTTTAACTGCTTTATTGACATGTAAGTCACATACCATACAAATCACCCATTTAAAGCATACATTTTAGAGCTATAATTATATTAAAGGAATTAGGCAGCTAATCACAGATCAATCACATTTTAAGTTCAGAACATTTTTCCTCCGAATAAACTCATAGTAGTAGGCAATCCCCATTACCCTTTGCCCTTCATGAGCTCTAAGCAACCATTCACCTACTGAGTGTCTATACCTTTGCCTATTCTGGACCTTTCCTGTGAGTGTAATATTAGAGGATTCTTTTTGTGATTGGTTTCCTTTTAGCATAGTGTTCTCAGAGTTCTTTCATATGTAGCATATAATCTGTGCTTCATTTCTTTTTATGGCCAAATTATATTGCATTGTATGGATATACTATATTTTGTATATACATTCATCAGTTGGTCAACATTTGGGTTTGCTTACATTTTGGGGCTATTATGAGTGTGTGCTGCTACAAACAATTCTGTGCAAGTTTTTGTGTGATTCATATTTTCATTTCTCTTGGTTATATACCTAGGAGTAGAATTACTGGGCCATATGTAATTGTTTTATTGTTTTCCAGAGGTACTATACTGCATCAAAAAGTCAGGAAACAAGGCAGAGGGACACAGAACCAATGCTTTTGGTAGGGACTTTTTAGGCCATTTGGATTGGTTAGAATCTCTAAGGCAATTCTTGATCACACCAAACTCAGTATATTCCACGTATATATGAAATCAGATCTACTTGGGAAAGCTTGCTTGTTAAAAGTTTTTTTTCTTTTTGTTAAAAGTTTCTTTTTTCTTTTTGTTAAAAGTTTCTTAAACACAACAGGGTATCTCTGGGATGCAGAGTTGTGGAAGAAAGCTGTCACGCCCTGTCTGGAGGCATGATAGTGGGGCTGGGTCAACCTCAGAGCTTTAGGGCATTAGGGATGCCTGTTGACCCTCAATTAAATCTTGTCCTGGGAAGAACTCAGGTGATCGCGTTGCTTTCACTCTGTTTACTAGTGAAGAGAACACTAGTTATGGGTGAAAGGCTTCATCGGAATTGAGATTATTGTACTTAAAGAGAAACATTTCCTCTGTGCTTTCCTTTATCTCCCTGCAAGAATCTTGACTCAGTGCAGTTTCTAAATGAAACAGTGCTTTGGGGACCTATGAAGAAGGCAATCTGCAGGAATTGCTAATTATTTCTAAAAATAACTCCAGGAGACAGGCTAATGGTAATGACTGGGTTCTGGCACTTTATGGTTATAGCAACCACTTTTATATATTTTGATTTCCTCCTCTAATGCTTAATTATCTCTGTGTGGGCATTATGATGATATGTCCTTGAAAGTATTAAAAATTTAATTAATTGCTTAACAGTCATATCTTGTGGAAACTACAATAGTAATAATCTTTTTACATTTTTTATTTTGGGTTCACACAAACCTAACTAATCACAGAGCAACCACAAAATATCAAAATGCAAATTCAGCACAGTAAAGTATAGCTACTGATTACAGAGTTTAGGGCTTTTGTATTGTGGCAACAAACTGTCATGTCTAAGAAAACATCAACCAGAGCACTTTATCATTTGCTGATCTCTATTATATTTCCACTGGGAGATTTTAAGCTTTGCCATAGAAGTATAGCTGGAGTCACCAATTTTAAAAAGGTATCAGACAAGGCAAATATTTAATTATAAACCATAGAAATTTAATGTATTGAATATGTCAGAGTTTTCATTATATTGTTGGTATAGAATTTTATTAGTTTTCTATAATAATCATTGCTTATGCTAGCTTATTGTGGTTTTCTTAATGAATTACTATTAGTTCTTTAAATAGGTCTGAAATCATATCTGGTAAGATGACTAGAGTCTACCATGTAATTGGTACATGAATAGATTTTTAAATATTAATTTTTATGGTCTTTTAACATAGAATGACGGTGTCTGACAATGTTTAAATCGCGACATGGGAGGACAAAGATTTTATGTAGTGTTTTAGTGTCATCTGTAATCTTATCACTTATATTTCAGATTAGACCAGAAGTGCCTATTACTGATGAGTCAGATGAAGATGAAGAGGAAGTGGATCTTTCAGTTCCTGGCTCTTGTTATCTCAAACTCTTGTCACTTACTGCTCCCTTGGTTTTACCAGGTGACTTATACATGGTGGCAGGGAAGGTGGCATTTTCACAAACGTTTCCTGTCTGGTTGTCTTGTTTTGTGATGTGTGCATGCTGTAGTTAAGTACTTACTCTCTAATTGAAATACTAAATGCATCTGTCTGTTCCATAGGTACTGCTTGAAGTAGTATGGTATGCAAATGTTAGACTCAAGTAAATTACTTGAATTGAACTGGAAATTAGTTTAAGAAATTGTTCTCTCTGATAATTAAGACTCATTTCCAAAACTGAATGATTCTATCAGACAAGTCTGCAGTGTGACTCTGGGTCACGGGACTGGTTTGATTAATCATCTTCATTCTATAAGCTCAGTGCAGAGATCGTTAGTCTATTTAGACACTCCATAGTTCCATCATTATAAATTCATTCTTTCTATGAAGAATAAAATATGCTCCAAAAAAAAATAATGCTCCAAATGTACTACTGATGTTTAAATTCTCTTTAAAAAACGGATCAAATTGTGTGTCCATTCAGTTTTGATATAAGGCTTATAGGAACATTAGCGTTTAGAAAATTATTCCATTGCATACAATATGGTAATCGTTCTATATGGATATCATATTTCAAAATATTCACCTGCCTTTATTATTCTGTAGAAATGTTAGATGGTTTCATTTGAGAAATTTGTGTTATGACTTAGAATTTACATTAATTTTAAATTTTATTTTTTGATATTTAAAAATTATAAAATTCTCTGAGGGATCCATTGTGATAGCTTTTCGGTATTAGCCAGCATTTTACTTTTTATTCTAATTCTACCTGGGTATCGATGGAAAACAATTTCTGAAAATGAAGTTCAATATAAACAAATGCCATCTTATTATTTTATTTTACTTTATTTTTTTGGTACTGGGGATCAAACTTGGGACCTTGCACTTGTGACGCAGGCAGAGAACCACTGAGCTAAATCCCTGGCCCATCATCTTATTTTAATGTCATCATATTAGCCTATAATATTGGAGGGATTTTTGTATTTTTCCCCTTTAGTTTCATCTCACCTGAAGATTCTTGGAAACTTGAGCAAATCCGTACCATTTATTTCTAGGACAGTCCCTGTTCCCAGTTCTGCCTCCTCTTCACTGGAACAGACTGACTGAGATAGCACAGATGAAAGGCATTTGGAAGAACCCACAGAAACGTGGTCACTGTTTTCTTCGTCCCCTTTCCCCTCTCATAGCTCGTTAGGCTCCTGAGGCTAAGGGAAGGTTATGGTCCAACACAACTTCTCCACCCTCAAACAGCCTTGGAGTTACAGTCTTCTGGGGCTTTTCCTTACCACGTACTCCTCGTTGTAGTCTTGTGGTGTTGGAAGGGGAAAGAGAAGATCTGAGGAGTAAGAGGATTAGTTGCTGAGATGAATCTGTTTCTGTGCTCTACTCTGGTGGCCATCAGCTGGCACTTCTGCATTAGCTGTACTTGGTGGCTCCCATGGCCTTTCCCTGAGAAGAAGGGAAGGGTCTGAGATCAACAGTTGCAGTAGTTTGAAGATCAGTAATCGGAGTCAGGTGGGTGGTCTTCGTGCTCACAGTGACTGTCAGAGCTTCACCATGGACAGAGTTTTGCCTTCTACTATGCTTTGCTTTCCCTGTGAGGATTAGAGAACTAAAGCACAAGGTAGGACAGTGGTTCTGGCCTTAGGAATGACAATACAACGTACATGGTGAATGGTACATGTTCGTCATTAGGCACTGTAGGCAGCAAAGTGACTTACACTGGAACTGGAAAACCCTGGCCCCCTTCTCTTAATTCCTTTTCAATGATCAAAAAAAAAGCAGCTGCAGTTTAAACCCACAGATTTGCATGAATCTTATTAGGGATATTACTGGTATTGTTTTTTTTTAAAAGTTTTGTTTTAAAATGTTTTTAGACGTTAAGAAGCTATGAAATAGCATAGTGTTCTCATGTATCTTTTACCTGGCTGTTCCTACCGATGACACTCAGATAACCACAGTATATTATTACAATCAGAATTGACATTGGCACAGTATCATGAACTGCACTGGAGACTTACTTAGATTCACCAGTGATTTTCAGTATGAAAACTTTTGGCGTTAGCTTTGTTTCACTTAGTGTCTCTGAGCTCTTTCCAAATTGTTGCCTGTATCATTAGTGGGTTTTTTTGTTTGTTTTAATTGCTCAGTGATATTTCATTGTATGGATGTACTGGTTTGTTTATATACTCACTTGCTGAAAGACATCCGGGTTGTTTAAAATATTTATGTCTGACACTCCTTGCCCTACAAATTTTCAGCCTCTTTTCTGATTCCTACCTGGTCCTCTGTAGGAAAGAGCCTCCCTGGTGGCAAACCTCTGGTGCATGTGCTGCACTGGACTGCTTGTGTCATTGAAAGCTCTATGAAATTCGCATCTCTGGCTCTAATACAAGAAAACAATTCCAGTGGCTAGCTTAGTAGCCAGGCAAAGAGGATACTCTGTGTATTAGCTACATTCAAACTCCTGATAACTTACCCTCGTTTAAAATATTCTTTGGGCTGGAATTAAGAATCCCTAACTTGCTGCTTGACAAGAGATAGATTTCAGTTTTGGGTCAGTCCAAGTGTGGATGTGGTCCCTGTTGCTAGATCGGTGTTCTTCATGAGAAAGTATGAAGTTACTTTATCTTATCATTGTGTCGCTATCCTCACAAACAGATGATTCACACCCTCATCTTAAGGCAGTTGCACTTTTGCCTTTGTGTTCAGGAATTGGGATATATGACCCACAATGGGTATTATGCATCGTTTTGTTTAGATGATGTATTGATCAAGGTTATAACACGAAAGTTGGGTCACCTTCAGAGGAGTAATGGAAGAGAGTTTTAATAAAGGAACTATTTATGATTGTCAAAAGTAAGGGAAGTTCACTATAAATGCTGAATCATCCCAGAGTGGTTAATATCTCTTGGCCTAAAATTCTAAGGGGAGGGAGGATAAAAAAACCATGTTTATCACGAATTGGGATGCGTAAGGGTAATCAAGGGCCTTCTGAAGAGGGATTCAAGGAACCTGGAGGAACCTGCTGGAAGGTATCTGGGGAATAAATTCTCTGAACTCATTCTGTTTTTAACCTCTGATCTCCTACCAGTGTCTCTTACTGGTTGACATCAACAGAAGCCAGAGGGCAAGGAAGCTTGTTGGTGAATTTCTTAAAAGTTAGTCTTGCAGGGCCAGAGTGGGGTTAAGAAGGGTAGAGAGCATATCAAAAGAAATAAGTAGAACCCCACCCCGGTGCACACATCGTCTCTGGGATTTGAACGGAGAAGCCTGATTAAATCTAGGAGGGTTTAAGTGTGTATAGCCAGGACAGAACTGGGCACTTCACAGCTGCTATAGGGAGAATTTGCTGACCCTAACTAATTCTAGTCATTTAAAGGAGATTTTTAGATAGATATATTCAAAGTAAAATTCCAGTGTAGTGAGATAGAATCTTGCTTTTGTTCCTGTAAGAAGCATGTGCAGCAGTTTCCTTTGCACTTTCTCTTTTTTTTCCCCACTCCTTGTGATTTATTGGGCTTTCTCGTTTCTTTGTTTTTGTTTCCATAGTGGGCAGCCTCTAGTGGTCCTTAAAAAAATAACACTTGGATATATTTTATACATCCTCTTGTCTTCTGATCCTGCATTTCTATGTTATTTTTAATAAGAATGAAAAACAGCAAAGATCTTGGTTTTAATTACAAGGAACATAGTAAAGAAATAACACTTTTTTTTGGTACCGGGAATAATGAACACATTTAATTTTTAAAATAACTGTTAATATCATTATAGAATAATGTTTGATCAAAAAAGAGTTCCTCAGAAACATCTAAAAGACAAGGAGCCAGGTACATGATAATCTGGAAATAATGCGTACCAGGTGAACAGCAGGTTTGGTGGCCCTAAGGTAACAACTTTATAGTGTTGAGAAATAGGAAGATGCCATTTGGAAACGTAATTTTAACATCCAAAAGCAAGAAGGGAGCTTGGTAGAGATGAGGCCAGAGGGAATGTAATGATCATCATAGTCGGAAGTTACTCAGTGTTTAGTGAAAAACCATTGGATGACTTTAGGAAGGGAATATTAACATTCTGGCTTCTGGTGAGTAGAAAGTTTTCAGGAGTGGTCATAACAAAAAGAAACCCATAAACTCATAATAGTATACATGAGGAAGAAAGATAATGGCACACAGGCAAAAAGGGCGGATTTGCAATATACTTTGAAGGTGGACCCAGGATTTGCTAATGGTTATGTTCAAGAAGAAAGGAATGAAGAGTCACTCTTAAGGGCCAGGGATTTAGCTCAGTGGTTCTGGTACCTGCCTTGCAAGCACAAGGACTGAGTTCGATCCCTGGTACCAAAAAAAAAAAAAAAAAAAATACAAAAAAAAAAAAAAAAAAGAATGACTCTTAAGTGTTTAAGCCCAGACAGAGTGGTGCCGTGTTCTAATTTGGGGACGAGTAAAATGGTGGTGGAGATCAAGAGTTTTCTTTTCCTCTTGTGAAATTCAACTAAAGTATAGCTTAAATGTTTATATGAAAAATAAGAATGGGGGGCCGGGATTTAGCTCAGTGGTGCTACCATCTGCCTTGCAGGTGCAAGGTCCTAAGTTCTATCCCTGGTACCAAAAAAAAAAAAAGAATAAGAATGAATATTTCTTTTCCAGAAGACTGTATTTACTTTAGGTTTGCATTTCCTTTTGTCTTTTTTTTCAGCTTTGGAGGGATTTTTTACTTCACTTGTGAAGCAAGAAATGATGAATATGCCCCGGGGGATATATCACTCTGCATTAAAAGGGGGTGTCCGTGCAGACCAAGGAAAGACTGTAGCGGGCATCCCCAATTTTATATTGAAGATGTATGAAACAAATAAACAACCAGGATTGAAACCTGGCCTTGCAGGTAAGAACAGTGCACAGTATCATGTTATAGGGTTTTAATGTTATGATTTAAACTTCATTTCCAAGTAGGGTGGAGTAGGTCTTGGCAAGACTGGGTAAATTGTAAAATAAATAATCATATTTTAGAAGGCATTAGAGAACTGTAGAAACAAAGACAAATAGATGGGCTAAATTTCTTGAGTGGACTAAATATTTGAGAAGTTTTTTCCCATAGGATATTTACTGATTTGGATTGTGGGTTAGGATGGGAGGTTTGTTCCAGGCTCATGTCTGGTCCTGTTGGAGGGAAGAGAAACCAGTAGAGATTTAGTGACTGCATAGATAAGTTAGATTTTTCTTATAACACGATTGTGAATTTTTATCTTGCACAAATCTAAACAACTAGGTAAAAAGCTTTTGAAAGGTAAAGCGCAATCTCCTTGAGTTTTAGGTTGTGTGGTGCTTAGGAAACAATGACTAGCTAGGATAATGGGCCTGGAAACAAGCATATGAGAGCTGAAAGATTTAGAGTGGTAAATTGAGCATGAATGTCTACAGCTGCCCTCACCTGGGTGTATTTACTAATTCTGGCTGTAGGTGGATTTGAGCATTCAGATTCCACCTTTGCCAGGGGCTGGCAAGGAGGTGTGGAAACCAGCGAAGATCTTGACATGTTGCTGAGGATCTTGATGCACCTCAAACACAGAACTTGTTTTTTCCTTAAGCTGTTTGCTACATTTTAAAGATTTATTTGTTGGGAGGTTAAAGAGCTAAACTGAGAACTTCTGGGACAGAGGAATCTTCTGTACTCTTTTTGGATTGAGGAAAGACTACAAGTCCAGAGGTCAGGACAGAGGAGGAGACAGGCCCTAGGCAAGGAAGTAATTCAGATGTAGATGAGATGTAGGGGAACTGCAGTCCAGCCCAACCTGATTAGGTTGAGATGATCAGTTCTTCAGTGGGCCTGCCTACCAGAAGGAAGAATATTCGCTGGTGAATAACATCGTTTTCAGCTTCACTGTCCAGCACACAGTGAGGACGTACCACATGTTATAAAAGCTAGAAGTGAGGGAGATGTTTCATGGAGATGAAGTCACTCCACTTGGAAATACCTCAGTTCTAGTTTGTGTGCACGAAATGATACAACATCTGTAGGTATAGGTATCGATACACATATAGATATGTGAGCAGAACTAGAAAAGGAAATAGAGAAACCCACAATAACAGTGGAATCATTAAAATATCTTTCAATAGGTAGCAGAGCAGTTAGACAAAAAATTCAGTAAATCTACAAAACATCTGTGTAATACTCTGAATAAATTTATTGATACACATAATATTGTACTTTATAATAATAGAATTCATATTCTTTTTAACTGTGCATGAAAGTTTTCCCAAAATGATCATATGAAAGATCATCAACTTTAACAAATTTCCAAAATTGGAGAAGTACTTTATAGGAAGGGAATATTATTCATCAGTGTTTTCTGTGAACGTATATGGGAAAATCTGAATTAAAAAATTGAATTAAGCAAGCCGGTATGATGGTGCTCACTTCTAGTCCCAGCACCTGGGAGACGAAAGGAGGAGGATCCCTGCAAATTCAAGGCCAGCCTGGGCTATACACAGAGACTATGTCTCAAAAAAAAAAAAAATTGAATTATGCAATACATGTAAAGGATAATACATAAGAAACACAGTTAACTTATTATTTGAAAATAAATATAATTCATTAATGAAGTACAATCTTTATAGAGTTGTAAAAGTGTGTTTCATGAGAGCCAAGAAGACTGTCATTAAACTATGAATAGAGGAACACTTTATTCTACTAACCTTCTGCTGTAACATATTTGTACTTACTACTGAAACACTGACACCTTTACTCCCTTATACTGTTAAAATAATTTATATGCTTACTGGCATCATTATTCAGGTTTGTAGTGGAGGCCGTAGGTAGTACAATAGGAAAAAGAAAAGTCAGAGGATTAAAAGGGAAGAGATAAAACAGCCTTTATTTATCGATGAAATGATTATATATATGGAAAATCCGTAAGTTTGTATAAATTAACTACTGGGATTAATAAATTCAGGCAGGGTTACTGCATATATATAAAGGTTACCATACAAAAATCAGTTGTATTTTTTATATACTATAAATAATAAAATTTAAAACTATAATAGCATCAAAAAATATGTACCCCAAAACCAGTTTATACCCTGTATATTGGAAGTACAAAATATTGAGAAAAAGAAATTTTAATAAATGGAGTAGTATGTCATGCTTATAGATTATAAAATGGCATATTATAAAACTTTAACTTCTCCTCACATTAATATATAGACTGAACTCATTCCCAATCAGTGTACCAGTACATTTTTGGAAACTGACAGATTTGAAAATTTGTATGGAAATGAAAAAGGCCAAGAATAACCAAGACCATCTTGGAGAACAGCAATACAGATATACATTACTAGAGATCAAGTCCTGTTATAAATTCAAAATAATTGACAATGTAGTGTTGGTACAAGTGTAGACAAATTGACCAATGTAAGTATACAAATGTTCAGAAACTGACACATCTGTGAGGTCACTAGATTTAAAAGTTGTAATTTTAAAAAGATATTAAGTCAAGAATATGTATAAGTGAAAACGTTAATGGACAGAATAAAATGCGCAGTACAAAGTGCAATCATTTAGAGAGATTCTGGTTATGATTCCTTCATCAAATGTTTTAATACATATCATGATGAAGGACTTGTAACTAGAAGCTATTTATAAAAAAACTGGAAATCAATGAGAAAGAGATCCTCAATAGAAAAACAGAATAGTTTAAAGAAACACGTCAAAAGGAGTGGAATCAAATATCCAGTGAACATATGCAATGATGGTCAACTACTTTAACATAAAAAAAAGGTAAAACTACAGTAAGATACCATTGTATTCCCACTCTGTATTTGATACTTTTCTGTCCATGGATTCCACATCTGTCATTTCAACACACCAGAGATTGCAAAAATTTTTTAAAGTATATTAAACATGTACAGTCTTTGCCTTCTTCATCATTAATCCTTAAGCAATCAGTGTAGCAACTATTTATATATCATTTACATTGCCATTATAAGTAGTGCAGAGATTATTTAAAGTATATGGGAGGCTGTGAATAGATTATATTGAAATACTACATTATCTTACATTAAGGAACATACACATTTCTAGAGTTTCTTTTGGTGAGTTTGTGGAGCAACCAGAACTGCTTTTGGCAATGTCAGTTCATGTAGCACTTTGAAAAACTGGTCCTGAACAAATTCATGCCCTTTTGCTCAGTTACTTTATTCTTAGGGATAAGCCCAAACGCAGCCACAATAGCAATACTAATCATAAAGAACTGTATGATTTGAGTAGCTCTTGGAAGGTGTCTAAATGTGTGTTGCCAGTAAAATGGGTAAATATATATGGAGCATTCATGAGATGGAATATTACAGAGACCGAATATACTACAACTGCTAATTACAGCATGAATGAGCCTCACATTTAGACTTAGTGAAAGAAATTAGATATGAGAGTTAAATGTGCAAAATGATTGCTAGAAGTTATGCTTCCCTTTTGATCGGCACTAGGGCTGCTGCGTCTGGAAGTTCAGTGGGGAGCTATTGCCCAGTGGGAAGGGCAGAAATGAAGAGTGTGGGTAGGAGGGAAAGCTCGTCTAGTTGTGGGTTTAAGGGATATCACGTTATCAAGAATTTACAGAGGTTAATATGTGCCTGTGTTCCTTTTTAATTGACGTTAATATTAGGAAAAAAGCTTAATAGAATCTCTAGAACCAGTAGTTTACAAAATTTAAAATTAGGCATTGTAAATTTGTTCACTTATTTATAAATGTTTATACCTACATTTTTTACATGTAAATAACTTGTAAGTACATGAAATTTTAAAGCTAACTTTTTATTATTTTTGGTACTGAGATTGAACCAAGGTCCTGCCCACCTGCCTCCTTTTGTACATTTTGAGACAGTTCTTGGTAACTTATTAATTTGCACAGCCTAGGCTTGAATTTGTGATCCTCCTCTCTTAACTTCCCAGTGTGCTGGGGTTACAGGCATGTGCCATCATGCCTAGTTTATATGTTGGTTTTTTATATCTTTCCTTAGCAGTAGTCAAGTATCATAATTTGTTTAGCAAGAGATCTTATTAAATTTTTATTAGATCTATAGCCCGGTACTTCAGTTAGGTTTCTCCATAATAAATGTTTTTGTGAATTTCTTTTTTTAAATAAAGGCGGTATGCTATTTTGCTATGATGTTGCCATGTATCACAGTAAAGATGGCAAACCACTGCATCGACTGATGGCCAGTAGGGGGCGAAGTTTCAAGCAGATGTCCCTTGCTCTTGTACATGAGGTAGGTGCCTTGCCACCCTCCCCAGCAGCCTTTTCTTTTTGTGTATGTTAATGTCTCTCTCCTTCACTGTACACGTATGAAGTTGGAAAAAAAATGTTTCCTATACCATGACTAATTAAGTTGCTTATTTAGTTTTGTTGTGTTTTTTGGGGTCAGGATCTCCCTATGTAGTTCAGACTGTCCTATGTAATGTAGTCCAGGCTGACTTGGAACTCACAGCAGTCCGACTGCCTTGGCCTCCCGAGTGCTGGGATTACCATATGTCATCATGCCCCACTAAAAATTGTTTTTAAAGATGATCAAATTAGCCAACGTACTGTTCCTTAATTTTAATCCTTTGTATGTAGGGCACCAATATTTATGTTTTGTGAGTAGGACTATCAGTAAATAATAATGTATTTTAAAATAAGTTCTTGGTTTAGTTTTTAGTTTTCTTTCCACCTACCCTTTTAAAGGTAAAGTTATTTGATGTTGCTAAACAACTTGCATGAAATTTGATCATTGCAGATGATAGCAAAACCAGGGATAAGAGGGAAGCTGGAAAGTACTGGAGAAATGTGTATTTTTTTGTGTTTAAAAAATTTCATGACACATTCAGGTTTATATAAGTTAAAATGTATGAATAAATAACAAAATATAACAGCAAAAATATATAATTCATACAGTAGATCATATATGAAAATATAAGTTTAAAATGAAAATATAAAATTGTAAAGGGTTTGATATTAAAATAATATAGCTAAAATATATCTATACAAAGTTTTATGCTTTGATGTATTATTGATAAAACCAAGTATCACTAATTTGTTTGCTGTGTTCTGTATTATATCAGTTGCCACCCGTTTAAGGATATAGTGAGGTCCAAAGGGCTTTTAAAGACTCTCTTTATCCTATACCATCTATTTTCCTTTCCTATATTTAGTGTAGGTATTTGGTGTAGGACCTTTTTGAGTAATAACTGGGAAAGGAAGGTGTTGGAAGAGTGATGTTTCTTTTGGAAGAAGACAGATTTTATTTTATAAAATGGGGAAACAGGTGATTTCTACATTTATTTTCCCTGGCAAATCATTAGTTGACATGGTAAAGGGAGAGATTTTGTGCCTTTTTGTGTTTTTCAGCTGTGCACTTAGGTATTTGAGGACAACCATTCAAAGTTTTAAAGATGATTTTAAAGGTCACCATCAGAACAGACTCAAGACAAAATGTTGTAGTGAGGAATAGCAGAACATATCTGAGATAGTGGTATCAGAATTTCTAAGGTGTGCCCTAGACTTCAGCAAAGGAAAGTCTTAGGTTTAAAGTACTTGAATCTTCTGTTGTAATAGGCCTAGAATTTCAGAGAGATGAGAAAATAAGATCATTATTTTTGGAGTCAACTAGAAGACATATTGAACAGAATTCTGCCAAAACTACTACAGGATTTTAGTTCAGACTCTGTCTTGTGCATACTTAAGTTCATCTGTGTTTGTTTTTTGTAAAAAGGCATAAAGGGAATCAGGTGTACAGCCTCAAACTATGACAAAAGCTAATATGAGTTTAAGAACTGATTAATAAGAGTAGCAATTGTAGTAACAGTTTAGAATCAGCTTACACACCTTTAAAGTTGTTATACATACAGGTATTCCCTGGCTTAAGATGTTTCTCTCTATAATTTTTAAAAAATTTACACTGATATACAAGTGACATAGATTTAGTAGAAACTATACTTTGAATTTGGATTTTTTCCTGGGCTAGAAAAATACAGTATGATACTTTCTTTTGATGCTTGGCTGTGGCAGGCAGTGAACTGCCATGTGATGGTGAGAGTCAACCACCCATAATGTACTGTGTAGTGAAGCTGTAGTGTTGTTGGTTAAGTGAGTTCCATGCATTTAAATTCATCCGGATGTTGTCTAATAATTGTTACTGAGGAGTACCTGCATATTTATGTAAATCTTTGCACTAATGCTCTGAGTAGACCTCATTAATTTTGTGAACTTCATCAGATAGGGAGTAGAGGAGCCTGGAAAATGAACGTAGGAATGAGGCTCTAGAGTGCTTAAAGTACCTTTTACAGTGGTCTTCTCTTATTTGAGAGGGATATGTTCTGAGGCCCTCAGTGTGTGCCTAAAACCATGAATAGTACTGAACACTATATAGTAATACCCTTTCCATCTTAACTACAAATTTTTCATGTAGTGTGGCTCTAACTTTTGCAGATTCACATATGACAGCAAAACCAGATTGATTGATTGATTAATTTTTGGTGCAGGGAATCGAACTTGGGACCTTGAGGTTGTGAGGCAGGTGGTAGAATCACTGAGCTAAATCCCTGGCCCCTGGATTTATTTTTTCTTTTTCACAATTTCATGGCACATTTGTTTTTACTGTACAGTTTAGCAACCTTATTTTACAGTTTTTTCTTATTAGTTGAGTCTCACTTTCCCACTTACAGCTTCTCTTTGGCTTATCCAAATTGCTAGTATCACCAGTTTGATGCACTGGGGCTGCTATCAAGTAAACAAGAATTACTTGAGCACAAGCATTGCAAGATCATGACAAATGATCTGATAACCTGAAGTAGGATACACAGTGACTAAGGGGATGGAATTATGTGCATTGTGAACATTCTGGGTGAAGGGATGATTCATTTTGAAATGCAATGACACAAAATTTCAAAAGGCTACTCAGTGTGCAGTTTAAAACTTATGAACTTTGTTTCTGAAATTTTCTACTTTATATTTTTAGACTATAATTAACTGTGGGTAATTTAAGCCATGCAAAGTAAAACTGCAAATAAGGGAGGATACTCTTCCCTAGTCACTCAGAGAACATTTTAAAAACTGCCTTTGGATCTTTTCAAGGTTAATAGCTCTGAACTCTTCTCCTTGCTTCTAGCTCTTCTTTTGTTTCAGTCCACTGGGTATTTTTGTGATGAAATTTCTTCAACTCTGCTTTGGTTCCCACCACTATTATATTATGTCTTTTTTTATTTTAGTCTTTCTCAAGAATTTCAATTTTTTTTTTTTTCTAAATGACTATTTGATAGATCCTTGACGTTTTCCCTGTTTTGGGTAATTATGAATAAAGCTGGTACTATAAACGTACTCATAAAGGTTTATGTGTGGATATTGGTTTTCATTTCTTTTAAATAATACCTAAGAGTGTAATTGCTAGGCTATGTGGTAAGTGCACATTTAGGTGTGTATGTATGTATATATGTGTATGTGTGTGTGTGTGTGTATATATATATATATATATATATATGTATATGTATATGTATATGTATGTATGTATGTATAAACTAGGCAACTGTTTCCCTAGTGGCCATCTCATTTTCATTGCCCCTGTAAAGCACAAGAGCTTTAGTTGCTCGAATTGCCTACCAATGCTTGATATGTGTTTTAAAATGTGGCTATTCTTATAGCTGCATGTGAATAGTGGTTTCCCTTTTGGGTTTTATTAATGGTTTCTTTTTGGGTATTTATAAATGATTAATAATTTTGGCCATCTTATTATCTGTTCATAATACACGTGAGTGTTTTGAGCAAGATTTGTCTATGTTGTAGCATGTGTCAGTGTTTCATTTCTTTTTATGGCAGCATAGTGTTCTTCTCTTATATGGATATATCATGATTAGCTGCTCATCAGTTAACCCGTTTAAGGGTGGTGTTTTAGTTACCTTTCTCTTGTTGCTGAGACAAAATACCAGGTACCCAAAATTCAAGGAGGAAAGTTTTATTTGGCTCACAGTTTAGAAGTTTCAGTCCCTAGTCGGCTGGCTCCAAGGAAGGGTAGCATAGCAGAGGGGCGTTGTAAAAGAAAAATAGTCCATGACAAGCAGGCAGGCGAGAGCACATTAGCCCTCTTTCTGTCCCCTATATTTTATGCGGGATACCTGCCCTTGGGCGGGCATAGCACTCATACCCTTAATCCTAGCAAGAGCTATGCGAAGCCATTCAGTGTACTGATTTAGTAATCACATACCCTTGATCCCAGCACCTCACACTCTAGAGCTAGCCACCTCAGAATAGGCCCCTTCATGACTGCTTGAGGCTTTGGGTGGACATCTGGACACAAGCCATAACAGGTGGTCTATGTTTTCTTGTAGAAGTTTTAACACTTTTTTGGGGGCGGGGTACCGGAGATCAAACTCAGGACCTTGTGCTTACAAGGCAGGTGCTGAAACCACTGAGCTAAATCCCAAGCCCTTTCTTGTAGAAGTTTTACATTTTTTAAGGCTTGCATTTTAGCCTGTGTTCCATTTGAGTTAATATTTGTGTTAGATATAAATTATATTTGTAGAAAATACTATCCTTTCTTGACTAAATTTCCTAAGTATTTAAAACCATTTGCCTGTGTATAGGTGGGTCTATTTCATTTTTTTTAACATTTTTTCTTCTTTTTATTGAGTTTATTGGTGCAATCTAGGTATACAATATAGTTACATTCATCATTGGGATCTTGTACCTTTACATAATAGGTCTTGATTCTCATTTTTTCCCCTTGTCCCTGCCCTCCCTTCACCTCCTCCTCCCCTCCCCATTTACAAAAACTTTATTTGCATTTTTTCAGTTTCTCGTATTTTTTTCCTCTCCCTTATTACCTTTCCCCTACCCTTCCCACTTTCCCTACACCTTTACCCTTTACTTCCTATTTACATTATTCATTATCTCATTAGGATCCTGTGTACTATTATAGTTTTCCACACCAGAAAAACTATTCGGTATTTCAGTTAAAGAAATCTCTGTATGACCATTAAAAATTTTAGGGAATCCTAAAACAAACTAAAAAGGAAAGTAAAAGAGAAAAGGCAATGATATAAAATTAAAACAATCCTTAATTCTGAAGATGAAAATGGTCCCTTAACATATTTAAATTGCTTCTTGCTCTTGTAGTCTTATCTTACTCTTTTTTTCATTATTTAGAGAATACTTTATTAGTTTCTGTAATCAAACCCACGTACATATGACCTTACATATTTAGTACAATGCGTTTCCCCTGTGCAAATGGAAAAATAA